AGCGAAGACATCAATAGCCTTGCCTCCTGGTTTCGAGATAACGAACTTATCATTAATCTCAAAAAAGGAAAAACTGAAGTAATGCTATTCGGAACAGCAAAAAGATTAAGTGGTTTTGATGGCAAAGAACTAAACCTCTCAGTAAATGGATCTCGCATCGACACGACTACAAATTACAAGTACCTAGGTGTCTATCTGGACCCTACATTGAATCTTGACAAGCACTTTTACAAAACATACAAGAAATCTGCAGGAAGAGTGAATTTATTACGACGAATCCGTTCTAACACTGACACCTTAAGCGCTGAACGAATCTACAGAGCAATGATAATGCCCATATTCACTTATTGCGGTCAAATTACGCTTGGTTGGTCAGAGACACGAAGGTGCCAAATAAGAAACCTGGAACAACGTAGTCACAGGATTATTCTGCAAAACTCAAAATGTCTAAACTGTGAACTCCGTCTACCCACAATTGAAAATTTTTTAAAGAAAAAGGCTTGTTTATTTGTTTTTGATTGCCTAAAAGGCAATGTTTGTAGTCCTTTCAAAGAATATTTTAAATTGTTAACCCACGATTTTGATACGAGGAACAGAGGGAACACCGTTGCTCTGCCGAAAGTGAGACTTCACTTTGCTCGGAATAGTTTTTATTTTTTAGGAGCTTCAGCTTTTAATTTATTACCATTAAAAATCAAGAAAATTAGCAGTAGGGTACCATTTAGGGAGTCTTTAGATCAATTTTATTGCAAAGGGCATTTAGTTAGGTGCGTAGTCATTCTTATCTTATTCTAGTTTTTATCCTTATATTATGTTATTTAGACAGGACCCCATTGATAACAGTGCTCCAGCACTGAAGGGCTATTGCTATCCTGTTATTATTATTATTATTGTTATTATTATTTGTATTATTATTATTATTATTATTATTATTACTTCGTGTACGCGTGATTGGGTATTACATGGAAATTTCCATGGACCTGCTTTTGACATGAATTAGATACTATTTTGAATATCTGAATGAGTATTACATGGAAACTTCCATAAACCTGTTTTGGAAAGGAGTTTCGGACACTAAATTTTTAGCGAGTGAGTCAGTGTTACTTATAAAATTCTATGCACCCATTTTGGCATAGAAAGTTTAAAATTATTATTATTTTTTGCGTGTGAAAGAGTATTACATGGATATTTCCGTGTACCCGCTTTGGTCAGGACTGTTTGCTACTGTTTCTATTCGTGAATAAGTATTACATGGAAATTTCCATGGACCATTTTGGTGAGGCACTATCCGGCACAATGAAATCGTAAAAGTATTACATGGAAATTTTACTTGTACCTGTTTAAATTGGTTCTGAATCGAATGATTGATACTGTTTGTATACGTGGATGAGTATTACATGGAAATTTCTAAGTACCCGTTTTGGCCGAGAACGTTTGAAAGTGTTTTTTTTTTCTTACGTGTAAATGAGTATTACGTGGATATTTCTATGTACCTGTTTTGATTAAGAATGTTTGATACTGTTTTGTTTACGCGAGTAAGTATTACGTGTACATGGAAAATTCCATGGACCCGTTTTGGCCAAAAGTGTTTGAGATTATTTTTTTACGCGTAAATGGGTACTACATGGAAATTTGAAAGAGAAAGAAAGAGAGTCTTAAGCACTCTAAACAACAAACGTGTCTAGTTACAATGATAAGGTTGAGATCGGACGTCAGCATTATCAGGCGCCTCTGGCAGCCGCTTCAGTCCATGTAAAAATCTCACCTTCCCTCCCATCCCACCCCAGGGGAGGACATCCACCACACAGTAATCTCGTGCGTGGGAAATTAACGTCTCCTACCCCTAACCCTGCAGGAGACGGGGCCTACGGTTTATTCGTCCTTATCCGAGAAGACTAGAATATCTATCCATTTCTTAATATTATACACCGTTGCTCTGCCGAAAGTGAGACTTCACTTTGCTCGGAATAGTTTTTATTTTTTAGGAGCTTCAGCTTTTAATTTATTACCATTAAAAATCAAGAAAATTAGCAGTAGGGTACCATTTAGGGAGTCTTTAGATCAATTTTATTGCAAAGGGCATTTAGTTAGGTGCGTAGTCATTCTTATCTTATTCTAGTTTTTATCCTTATATTATGTTATTTAGACAGGACCCCATTGATAACAGTGCTCCAGCACTGAAGGGCTATTGCTATCCTGTTATTATTATTATTATTGTTATTATTATTTGTATTATTATTATTATTATTATTATTATTACTTCGTGTACGCGTGATTGGGTATTACATGGAAATTTCCATGGACCTGCTTTTGACATGAATTAGATACTATTTTGAATATCTGAATGAGTATTACATGGAAACTTCCATAAACCTGTTTTGGAAAGGAGTTTCGGACACTAAATTTTTAGCGAGTGAGTCAGTGTTACTTATAAAATTCTATGCACCCATTTTGGCATAGAAAGTTTAAAATTATTATTATTTTTTGCGTGTGAAAGAGTATTACATGGATATTTCCGTGTACCCGCTTTGGTCAGGACTGTTTGCTACTGTTTCTATTCGTGAATAAGTATTACATGGAAATTTCCATGGACCATTTTGGTGAGGCACTATCCGGCACAATGAAATCGTAAAAGTATTACATGGAAATTTTACTTGTACCTGTTTAAATTGGTTCTGAATCGAATGATTGATACTGTTTGTATACGTGGATGAGTATTACATGGAAATTTCTAAGTACCCGTTTTGGCCGAGAACGTTTGAAAGTGTTTTTTTTTTCTTACGTGTAAATGAGTATTACGTGGATATTTCTATGTACCTGTTTTGATTAAGAATGTTTGATACTGTTTTGTTTACGCGAGTAAGTATTACGTGTACATGGAAAATTCCATGGACCCGTTTTGGCCAAAAGTGTTTGAGATTATTTTTTTACGCGTAAATGGGTACTACATGGAAATTTGAAAGAGAAAGAAAGAGAGTCTTAAGCACTCTAAACAACAAACGTGTCTAGTTACAATGATAAGGTTGAGATCGGACGTCAGCATTATCAGGCGCCTCTGGCAGCCGCTTCAGTCCATGTAAAAATCTCACCTTCCCTCCCATCCCACCCCAGGGGAGGACATCCACCACACAGTAATCTCGTGCGTGGGATATTAACGTCTCCTACCCCTAGCCCTGCAAGAGACGGGGCCTACGGTTTATTCGTCCTTATCCGAGAAGGCTAGAATATCTATCCATTTCTTGATATTATAGAAAGGTAGCAAATTCTCCTCACTTATTTTAAGACCATGACTATTGGTCCATGATTGGTCCATGAGTATTGATCCATTAAGACCATGAGTATTTCCATGTGCCCGTTCAATTTTGTTTAACAATGATTGATACTGTTAAGTATGCGAGAATGAGTATTACATGGAAATTTCCATGGTCTTTTGCGTGGCACAATATTGTATTGAAATCATAAATACTGTTGGCAAGCTTCTTCTCTGAAAAATAAATCGACTTTTAAATGGTTAAGTTAACCATGCGAGGGATACATGGGCTGCTGTTTAGGCGAGTTATCATAACATTAGGGTACCGTTCACCACTGATAACTGGAAAAGTAGACGCTAACATGCTCATCTTTTTTACTGTTTAATAATGTTGAAAATAGATTTCGTTACTATAGATTTCGTTACTTATAGATTTCGTTACTTATAGATTTCGTTACTTATAGATTTCGTTACTCAGCCGCACGTGATTTGTACTGTTGTCTAGTTATCCAATCGGAACACAATAATTGATTGAGATTTGACCTAGGATTTTTACTTCGCACATGTTGTGGTAGACTCGAAGAGAAAAATAACTCAATGAAAGAAGGAAAATTCAGTTGGAAATCTGTTGGAAACTAGGGCGGAAAGTCTTAAATTTGTACGGAAATCATCGGGAAGAAAGTCTTGTGGAAATCTAGAGGAGTTATTCTTTCCTTTCTACAGATAACAAATTGAAAGAAACCGATAGAATTGTTTTGAAATTAACTGAAACAAATATAAATTGTGATGGCCGATTGAGTCACTGAAATTGTTGATTGAGCCGTAAGTCTTAGTTCATGGACAGCCGCTCGGTGACGTTGGCGATTCTTTGCTTTAACCTTAGTAACTATTCCATGGCAAAGTTTGATTTTTTTCCAAATTTCTCACTTCAGAAAATCTGTACTTTAAAGATTACGTGTTGTAATGATTTTGACCTCAAATTTGACCTAACTTTAGCCCTAGGCTCCTTCTCTGTCTAATCACTTTAGAACAAAGTTATATTTTCGAAGTAAACGCTCCACTATAGTAGAGTCCATGGTCAAGTTCGTTTGGTAGCACAGTTTACCGATGGAGTTTTATAGCACTTTCAAAATGCCAACTAGAAGGATGAATTTTTGGTGCTCCATAGGCCAGAAATGGGACCCCCCCTAAAACTCCAAAACAACCAGTCCGAGAAGTGAGCCAAAATGGCTTCTGAAATATCTTATCACACTCAACTTTTGTGCCAAGTTTCAGCCAATTCGGTTGACCACCACGTCTGGCCCCTGGAACACTTTCTCAGACAGGGACACTTAAGTTTGAATTTTTTTTACCTTGGGGAATCTTACAATGTGGTTTGGTTACGGAGATAATAGAGCTATTTTGTTTGAAAGATCAAAAACGTCCATGGCACCAATCACATTTGTTTCACTGCAAGCAGGAAAGTTTCAAACGCTGTTGACCAACGCAAAATTAGTTATTGTACGAAAAACAGACAATTTGCAAGAAAGCTCTCAAATGTTCGAGGAGATGTTACTTGCTTATTTTTCTAAGTTCATGGCTTTTGATCAGTAGGGGGTATTTCTCTCGTTTGATGAAAGAATAACCTTTTTAAGGTTAACTTTTAAGTACAAAGTTTTCATTGTTTTAGACTCAACTTGGAAGGTATCAAGTCTCGTATCGTAAAACAGCCCTTGTTCATTATGGTTTGAAATCATTGTAATCATTGATTAGACGAGAAAAAAACAACACATTTAGTGGAACCATTTCAATTAATGAGCGATGCTTGGTATTTTTCTCAACAGATTATTCACCGCGACCTTGCAGCCCGAAACGTCCTGGTTGGAGAGCGAGAACGATGTAAGGTAACCGATTTTGGAATGGCTAGAGACGTGTGCCAGGAAAACATTTACGAAAGGAAGTCAAAGGTTTCTGATTTTATTATCTCGATAGTCTGGCTAATACCATCATACATTAGTATTGATAAATGCTATCTTATTCTTTTGTCACTTTGTTCTCAATTATGTTTTGTGCAACATCATCACATAAAAGTGCGCAAGAACAAAGGTACAAAGACAAAATGAAGAAAATTTCCCAAATATTTTTTGCTCATTCTCTTCAACATTTTTTTAAACGTTTTCCCAAAGGGAAGACTGCCAGTGAAATGGACAGCTAGCGAAGCGCTGCTATACGGACGATATACGACGAAAAGTGATGTGTAAGTGGATCTAATAAGTCATTGAATAGTTCTGAAAATAATTTAAAAAAAATCTTTCAGATCTAGATATCTTGAGACTATGATATAATTTTACTTTTATGTGCGAACTTGAAATAAAGCCTTTTCTTTCTGTTCTCAGATGGAGTTTTGGTATTGTGCTTTACGAAATCTTCACGATAGGTATGTCAGATAAGTGTGTTTCAGTCAGTATATATTATATAGATGGCGCGCTTTTTGATTGAGTCACTGTCTACATGTTCAACCTCTCGTTCTAGGTGGCTCTCCCTATCCAAAGATAGACGGAAGAAAAATTGCACATTTACTTTCCCAGGGCTACAGGATGCCTAAGCCACGGCATGTGGACGATACCCTGTAAGGCCATGTATCCATCCATTTATTCAATTATTAATGAACTTTATCATATAATTTTTTGAATTTTTTTATTTACAAGGATATCTCTCTAATGGTGGAAATGGTATTTTAGACCTAAAATATACTATCTATTTATTGATCTCTACTTTCTTCAACTTCTTAAGGGTACGTAGGGGTCCTAAATTTCGAGCTCATTTAATTGTGTACAATATTTTGTGAAGAACTTTTGATTTTCGTAAAACTAAAATCCAAGTGTTTAATTTATCTAGTTACAAGATAATGCAAGACTGCTGGCAAGAGAATCCTGATGATCGCCCAGTGTTTGAGAGTCTCAGGGATGATTTGAAGGAAATGGAAAATCAACATCAGGTGAAATATTTTGAAATACAACTATACAAGGCTTGGTCATCCGTTGATATAGAAGTCATTTAATTTATATTCATCGATTTTCTCTTTCTCTTTTTCCTCGCAGAGGCTCATCAACATGCAACTTTACGACAACGTCCTTTACGCAAGTGCGGAGTGAATTCTTGTTCAAGAATTATGGAAACAATTCTTATCATCATAGGCAGCAACAGTTTCTCCTACATACTGTTTGAGAATCTATGTATTAAAAGTAGATCTTTTTTCCAAGATAGATCAAGCGATTTTAACACACAGCTAAAAACTAAGAGAAGTACAATGCCCATAAAGCGTGGTAGAAGTCGAAATAAAGTAAGCAAGCGGTTGATTCTAACTTGTAGTTAAATTGGTATTTGGTATGGAAGTCAAAGCTAACAATAACTTACTGTATCGATAAATAGTTAATGGTTATTATAACATTTAATAAGGATGGCTGCGTATCAGTCTGCTTTATAGAATACTCAAAATTTACTTGCTACTGTAGCTAAGGGTTGAATATTGATTGCTGATAAACTTTAGAAACTTTACCCGAGGAAGGTCAGGACGTGCTGGAGAAATTATTTCATTGTTACATTTAACATGACCTTAGTATGGATTGAGCATGCACGCTATATGACCTGAAGAGTTAAAACGCGGCCTCGAATAAAAACTGGAACCACAGCGAGCGGTGTGCATTTTCTTGTGGAATGTATTTTTGCATGATTTTTTCTGTAGCTTGTGGAGAGCTTCGTAAAGTCGAAGCCGAGTCCAGTATGAATTTCCACTTTTTCCTCCCAAAAAAGGTGGCATGATAAATGTCGTTTCATATCGCTGCTGTGGAAGTCGCTGAATTTTGGGAGATCCTCGAACTCCTTCATTTGCGCCTTGTTTGTGTGTTGAGGAAACTTCGCCCTTATTCTTTAGGGAGAAATGCCGGACTTTCTATCTTAAAATTATTTAGTGTCCCTTCTTGACAGCAGTTACCAAGTCGGGAGTCTGTCGGTAATTAGCCTTTCTTTGTCGCAATGGGTGCAAACCCAGGACTCATCCGCTGTTGATTTTGACAGCATGCAAGCACCATATAGATGAAAAATCAACTTGTTTTTCTCACGAACCGGAAGTAAAATTATGAAAGAAGATATATATGTCTATGTTAGTATAGGGTCGGATTGTGTCATTTAATATGCTTGACCTCTTTTATGTTTATGTGAAGAATTGAGATGGCAAAACTCCAGATTGTGAAGGATTTTAGAGAGCATAAGTCCTGAGAAAGCTATATGTATACTTATATTTTACCATTATTATTTTACTTATTTCTATCAATTAGAATTTTTTGGTTTTTCAGGGTTACTTCAAAAAACCCTTTGGCCTTCCCTGTGCTTTTGTTGGACTTTTTAGCGTAATTACGCCCTAAATCGATAATATATTTGTTAAGTGCAGATCCAAGTTGCAACACGAGTATTTGCAACTTTAAATGAAATGTGTAATCTTGAACCAAGTGTAGCAAACTTTAAAATGTTTGTAACGATCACAAGAAAATCAACAAGCGCGAGATATTGACCTAGATGACATAACGTCAACGGCCACGTGGCATTCATTGCGATTCTTATATTTCCGAGTCAATCATGCATTTTATGCATTGCAAATTTGTTGACTTTGCGTTTTATAAATGACGTTTCGTTACGATCTATAAATCGCAAGCGACTAAAAACGTCTTCATTTTACCCATTTGAGATGTGTTCGCAAACGTGTGATTTATGCATTGCAAATGCATTTTCTTTAAATTAGCAACGCAATTATAAATCGCAAATGTCAAACTTCTAAACCATGAATGTGCGATTAACAAAGAGCAGATCATTTCTGTACACTTTGCACTCAAGTGCGTAAATCAAATTTCTGTCATGTCGCAATTCGCGGCGTCATCTTTAGAATATATATTCACCCGCCTCGTTTTGGGGGGAGACTCGAGAAAAGTTCCAAGAGGTGAAGAGATATTAATAATGGCCGAAAGAGACTGATCCACGGCAAGGAAAATTAAACCAGCCGTTTAAACAGCTTCAAGTTAGGCCCTCGGATCGCCTCAACATGAAACTCAGGAAATACTAGAAAGAAGAGTACATTTTGTATCAGTGTTCATTAAACCAATTTTTTTTATTAGAAGAAACTCGCTCAGCTTTTTTTTTTTATCACTTGCGGCAGAAAGAGGCTAGTCGAGACGATCGCCATGGCCTTAGTAAGAGGCTAAAACTGAACGAGAACTGCGCCCGTATACCCAAAGACGACGTTGCAATTCATAAAACGCACATTTGTGAAATGTTAAATTTTCAAATTACGCACTTGAGCACAAATTGTAAAGAAATGATTTGCGATATGTAAACTGTACATTTGCGGTATATATGTTTAACCTTTGCGACTTAAAATCACGTTGGTGACTTATAGATAACGCATTTTTAGTATAGAAATTACACGTTTGCGATCACATCTTAAATGCATAGTTGCTTGTGATTTATAAGTCGTAAAGAAACGATACTCGCAATGTCACAATGTGTGCTGTTATATGTCATCTCCGTATTTCGAGCGCAGTCCGGGATAAATAGCACGGTTAAATGTTTTGAGAGACAAATACAATAATAGTTCAAACATTATGGTTGTCTCTAATGACTCAGCTTTTAACATTCCAAAGCAGATAACATTCATTTAGCCAAGCTCACATGCATTGAAACTTGATTCTGGTCTCTTTTTAGTTTCAAAGGATAGATCTACCATGTGCACATACATCTAAATTTTGTGCAATTGGCGTTTTCGTGACTTCATGCCCAATGGAAAACCAAACTGCCTTTCTGCGTACATTTGCCTAAGTGGCGGTATTACGATAACGTGGATAAGCAAATGCTTGTTCGATTTGTCTGTGGAAACATACATAAAATGTTGGTTGTTTACTTTTTTATTGGCATTTACACTTGTTTAGACGCTGTAGGTTGTACAGCTCCTGTAATTTCGCCATCTTGGCCGAACAAGCTTGGTCAATTTTACAAATCGACAGTGGCTTAGTATGCATGAAAAATCAAATTTACGTGAGCGTAATGACAGCGTAAAGTCAGCGTATAGTTTAATTTTACACAACTTTGCGCTTCCTTTACTCTACTTAAAGTTCCGCTTTACAGCACCTTTACGCGTACACATAAAGCTGGCGTAATGAAACACCAACTCTACGTAATACCTTTACGTTTTGCGTAAAGCTTGCGTATACCCTAATTTAAGCTTGTGTAACGCTAAAATACAAGCTCCTTTATGCCAAACATATATGTACATAAACACTCTGGAAACTTTAAAAATGCCGGTAAACACAATGGTAATCGGGAGATTTTCTTCTCAATTATTAGCAATTAGGATTATAATTTGTTAGCAGCACTAGCATCATCACTGATGAATACGAACCATCCGCCTGATACGGCCCTTACCAGACGCACGGCCAAATCACTCACGTAGTACTAGCCGTAAACGATAATTTCGGCCATGTTAGGGCATATCAGCACGTCATTTTAAGTTTTGAAAAGGGTTTATTCATAACAAACCACCTAAGTTACAACATAAAAGTGCTCACGCACGTGGGCTTGGCCCCAACTAATTATTAATAAACAGTTCAAAGTTCCAAAGTTCAAGAGTTCTTAAACACAAACGAGTATTAAATATTACTAATATTAATGTAAGGTTATAAATAATTCCAAAATAGTTAGGTCTAATCTTAATATATGCTTAATCTATAATATTAGTATGGCTAGGACTAATGTAGACTAATATTAATATAACGCTACGATTGTTTAATGCTAATTCTAAGTTGTAAATAATTCCAACTTAACTAAAGCTTAAGGTAATCTATTTACAAAAGTATTCTATAGGAGTCCCCATCAATTGTACAGATTGATGGGGACCCCCAAGCGTTTCTAAAGTTATATAACGAGAGTCGGAAGTAGTCGCACGCAATTCTGTTTATGGTCTCGCTGAGGGCATAGCGAGTTATACCCTCAGGGGGGTCATTCCCATTGTGAAAGGTAGATTTATTTCGAAATTTCCAGATGCTGTACAGAGTAATCTTAATTAGAAAGCGAGCAATACGATTCTGTTTCGGGCTAGCGGGGGTCCAACGAAAAAAGAAAACATAGGTATAAGATGGGAAAAGCCAGTTCCGAGGATAGAGGAGATAACAGGGGAAAAGTGGGACCATACATATTTCACACGGGGCAATTGAGAAAACAGTGACCTATAGTTTCTTTACAGGAACAGAAGGCGCACTTATCTGAGTCAATATATCCCACATTCTTAAGAGAATCGCGGACCTTAATAGCGCGAAGCACAATTTTCCAGAGTATGTCGTTCTTATAATTTTCAGATAAGTCATCTCGCACTAAATTCCAAAATTTGTCAAGATCAAAGTCAATCGGAAGGAAGGGAGTCCAAAAGCGAAGAAGAATTGGAGATGTGGAGTTTTCCTTCAAGAGAGTTCGACGACATTTCTTGGAAGAAAATTCAAAATCGCACCACTCCGTGCGGGAGAGAATCCCACGTAGAGTGGTGAGCGCCGAGAGAACATTCTCATAATAGGGCGTCAAGATCTGTGTACTCGGGGTGGAGTTATCTGGAAGAGAGCTCCACTCCGAGCGACAGGAGGCAAGCCTAGAGCCTAGAAAATATCTGGCCAAATAATAGGATTTTGATTCGCGATCATCAAGATTGGAAATTACTGAGGCTAATTAAAGAGTTATCTTTGATCAGGAAATTCAAAATGCCGAGACCGCCATTTCTAAGAGATTGGTGGCAGAATGCTTAGCTAACCGTTTCAATTCGACAGCCCCAGACAAATGGGCAGATTAAAGCGTTAACCTTAGAAATGACCCATTTCGGGACACACAAAACTGTAGAGAGATATGGGAGCTTGCTAGCTAATTCCGAGGGTGTTAACTAACGATGAGCGATCGGCCAACAAGAGAAAGTGAGCGGGATTTCTATAAATTTAGATGTTTTTCTAATTTCTCTAGTTTTGCTGCCAGTTGTCTAATGAATGAATTCCTTATTCATATTTCGCCCTTTCTATACAATATTCAAAGGCGCAGTACCCCCCATCAATTTGATAGACACTACACAAAGATAGACCACAACACCGGGCACTACGTGCCCTACTCTTTTCGAACAGTGTGTGGGTTCTTTAACGTCCCACAATTTTTTTATCACGTACAAGGGCTTGTGAGACGGGACCTCCCTTTATCGTCCCTATCCGAGAAGACTAGAAAGTCTAACCATTTCCAGATATTATTACAAAGGCAGCACTTTCTTCTCAGTTATTTAAAGACCCTGAGTGTTGGTCCGGCAGGATTTGAACTCACGACCTCCCGCACAACAGTCCGGCACTCTACCAATTGAGCTAATCGGGAGGCGGTTGATTCAGTATCGCGGCCGAAAACAACACCTAGAATTTTAATTTTGGTCATCCATTTGAGGCCAAGTGGTGGGTCGTCGCGCGTACGCCACGCCCCCAACCACATGGCCTTTGTTTTCGTGAGATTAAGGCGTGCCCCAGAGCCACGCTCGTAAATATTAATCATGTTGAATAGAACTTGCAGAGAGCGATAAGATTTCACTATACAGGTCGTATCGTCAGCATAATTTCCAACTTTATAGCAGAGACCATGTGCGCCCGGAAGGAGAAAGCCTTCGATTT